GGCCACTGCACTCCAGTCTGGGCGACAGAGTGAGACTCCAACTCAAAAAAAAAAATGCTAGGTGTGTAGTCAGGCAAGGTAGCTCACGCCTGTCATCCCAGCATTTTGGGAGGTGGAGACGAGAGGATCGCTTGAGTCCAGGGGTTTTAGACCAGCCTGGGCAACTCAGCAAGACCTAGTCTCTATAATAAAAAAAAAAGTAGCTGGGCGTGGCAGTATACACCTATAGTTCCAGCAACTTGGAAGACTACTCTATTATAGAGATAAGGTCTCACCATATTGGCCAGGCTGGTCTTAAGCCCCTGGACTCAGGCAGTCCTCTCGCCTCGGCCTCCCAAAGTGCTGGGATGACGGGCGAGCCTCTGTGCCGGCCACAACGTGGTCAGTCACAACATGGTAGTTTTATTCTCTTGTTAAGTCCTCAATTGCCTGTCCCCTGCATGGAACTCTCTTAACTCTTTCTCTGGATCCTCACGAGGCTGACTTATCCTCTAGGGACCGTGTGTGTTCTGGCCAACAGCACTGGCTGGATGTTCCTTTTTATTTTTTTTGAGTTGGAGTCTCACTCTGTCACCCAGGCTGGAGTGCAGTGGCATGCTCACGTCAACCTGTTGGCCTCCAGCAACCCTTTCACTGCAGCCTTCCAAGGATCTTGGAACTACAGGCATGCACTACCATGTCCAGCTAATTTTTTTAAAAAACTTTATTTATGGTAGAGACGAGGTCTTACCAAGTTGCCCGGGCTTGTCTCGAACCCATGGGCTCAGGTAATCCCCTCACCTCGGCCTCCCAAAGTGTTGGGATGACAGGCTGAGCCACTGAGCCTGACCCTTTTTTTGTTTTTTTTTTTTTGAGTCAGAAACTCACTCTGTCGCCCAGGCTTGAGGGCAGTGGTATGCTCATGGCCACCATCGCCTTGACCTTCCACCTCAGCCTTCCAAGTAGCTATAACTATAGGCGTGCGCCACCACACCCAGATAATTTTTTATATTTACTGCAGAGACTTGGACTCGTCGAATTGCCCAGGCTGGTCTTGAACCCCTGGACTCAGGCAGTCCTCTTGCCTTGGCCTCTCCAAAAGCTGGGATTACAGGCGTGAGCCACCGTGTCCAGCCAGATGTTCTTCGTCTGGATTATTGTTGCTGTGAAACTTTTAATTTTGAGGTGATGGCAGATTCACACGCAGTTTTAGGCATGCAGAAAGATCCCTTACCCAGTTTCCCCAGATATGGCCGTCTTCAGAACCGCAGCATCACCTCATGCCTCGGACGTTGGTGTGACTCGGTGAAGAGACAGGACATTCCCACCCCCACAGGAACCGCACGACCCTCTCATAGCCACCCCCACCCCTCAGCCGCGGGTGACACTGGTCTCGTTTCTGGCGTTCACTCGTCACCTCTGTGAGCGTGTCATTTTAAGAGTGTGACGTCAGTGGAACCATCCAGCATGCGTCTTCTGGCCCCGGTTTGTTTGTTTGTTTTTCTTGAGTCGGAGGCTCACTCTGTTGCCCAGACTGGAGGGCAGCGGCCGCTCCCGGCCCCCGCAGCCTCGACCTGCTGGGCCCCGGCGATCCTTCCGCCTCAGCCTTCCGAGTAGCCGGAATTACAGGCATGGGCTACCACGCCCGGCTGATTTTTAGATTTATTGTAGAGATGAGGTCTCGCTGCCCAGGCGGGTCTCGAATCCGCAGGCTCAGGCCATCCACCCACCTCAGCCTCCCAAGGCGCGGGATTACAGGCTGAGCCACCGAGCCCGGCTTGGACACAGCTTTTTCCACTCAGTACGGTCCTCAGAGATTCATCCAAACTGTTGCTTGTATCAGTACTAACTTCCTTTTTATGGCTGAGGGGTATTCCATGGAATGTATGTACCAAACTATTTTCTGTTGCAGGACATCTGGGTTGTTGCTCTATTATTGTTATTTTTGTGAGTCGGGGTCTTACTCTGTGCGGTGGCACAATCATGGCTCACAACAACCTGAACCTCTTGGACTCAGGAGATCCTTCCACCTCAGCCTCTCAAGTGGCTGGGACTACAGCGGCACACCACCACGCCCGGCTAATTCTTTGTAGAGGCGAAATCTCACTATGTTGCCTAGACTGATCTTGCACTCCAGGGCTCCTGCCTCGGCCTCCCAAAGTGCTGAGTTTGTAGGCGTGAGCCACTGCATGCAGCCTATATATATATATTTTTTTGAGTTGGAGTCTCTGTCGCCCAGACTGGAGTGCAGTGGCCGCTCCCGGCCACTGCAGCCTCGACCTGCTGGGCTCCGGCGATCCTTCCGCCTCTGCCTTCCAAGTACCTGGAACTACAGGTGTGTGCTACCACACCCGGCTGATTTTTTTGATTTATTGTAGAGATGAGGTCTCGCCAAGTTGCCCAGGTGGGTCTCGAACCCGCGGGTTCAGGCAATCCACTCACCTCAGCCTCCCAAAGCGCTGGGATTACAGGCTGAGCCGCCAAACCTGGCTCTGTATTTTTTTTATTTTGAATATTTATTTACTTTGTTAATAGATTTTATACTTACAAGTTCAGAGGCACAAAAAGGCACCTAATGTGTGTTCCTCTCCCATCTGTGCCTCACGATTCCGCCTAGATAGGGAAACGCAGTTGTGATTTTCTTGGGTGTTCTCCAGATTCCCCTCTGCCCCCAAGCTGAAAGCAGTTCAGTGAACACTCACGCACTTGATACTTAAGTCTTGGCTTTGCTTCTCGGCTTTCTTGCCTCAGTTTCCTTATCTGTAAAATGGGGATAACAGTACCTTCCTCGTGGATTATTATGGGGATCTAAGACACGTGCTAACTCAACGAGTGCTTACCAAGCGACAATGGTTACCAGGCGCTGTCTTAGGCACAGGGAATACAGCAGAGAACAAAACACCAAGCTTCTGTTCTGGGAGCGGGCGCGGCAGTAAACACGGGTGAGGAAGCGCCTCAGTGTGGGAGAGCAAGCAGGATGGGGGACACTGGCTCCCGCGGTGACGCTGGCAGGGGTGGCAGGGACGGGAGGGGGCAAGGACACCTCACGGGGAGGGGCAGCTGGTGCTCAGGAAACCAAGGACGCCACAGGCGCCTGGGGGTGTCCTGGACACGGGCGATACCGGACCTTCATGTTGAGAGAGCTCAGAAGCACTTGGTTTGGAGCCAAGAAATGAGACGGTGTGGCTTCAGTTGCACTTGTTTGTTCATCTACATTTGGTTTCAAAAAAATGGGGCGGGTTGTTTGCACACGGCTCAGAAATGAGAGTGTAATGCGGGAAGGATGGGAGTAAGGCTGTGCCCGCCACTCTCCTCGGCCACTGAGATCCTGGGCCTCATGCATGCTTGAGATATATATATATATTTTTTTTTTTTTTTGAGTCAGAGTCTGTGTCGCCCAGGCTCACAGCCACTGCAGCCTTGACCTGCTGGGCTCAGGCGGTCCTCCTGTCTTCCAAGTGGCTGGAACTACAGGCACATGCCACCATGCCCGGCTAATTATTTTTTGGATTTATTTTAGAGACAAGATCTCACCAAGTTGCCCAGGCTGGTCTTGAACCCTGGACTCAGACAGTCCTCTCACTTCAGCTTCCCAAAGTGAGACACTGTGCCTGGCCTTAAAATATTTTATACGTGTTATTTATTTATTTATTTTTGAGTTGGAGTCTCACTCTGTTGCCCAGACTGGAGTGCAGTGGCCACTCCTGGCCACCGCAGCCTAGACCTGCTGGGCTCTGGCAATCCTTCCGCCTCAGCCTTCCAAGTAGCTGGAACCACAGGCATGTGCTACCACGCCTGGCTAGTTTTGATTTATTGTAGAGACGAGGTCTTGCCAAGTTGCCCAGGCGAGTCTTGAACCCATGGTCTCAGGCAATCCACTCGACTCGGCTGGGATTACAGGCTGAGCCACCGAGCCCGGCCATGTGTGCTATTCTATACGTTTTAGGAGATGATGGCAAAATCAATCTGTAGAAATAGGGTTCTTGAGCCAGGTGTGGCAGCTCATGCCTAATCCTGGCACTTTGGGAGGCCAAGGCAGGAGGAAGATTGCTTGAACCCAGGAGTTTGAGACCAGCCTGGGCAACACAGCAAGACCTCATCTCTACAGAAAAACAAAAAATGAGCTAGGCACGGTGGTACACACACCCGTAGTCTCAGCTACATGGGAGGCTGAGGTGGGAGGCTCTCCTGAGCCCAGGAGGTTGAGGCTGCTGTAAGCCATGATCGTGTCACAGCACTCCAGCCCGGGCGAGAGTGAGACTCCGACTCAAGGAAGAAAAAAAAGTTAAACATGACCAAGGAGGGGTCTTGCCAGGTCAGCATGGTGGGAAATGGGCAGGGGTGGGTGCTAAGAATCTCCGCTGTGAGGAGGGACCGAGGACACGGAGGACTGGGAGGACAGTGGCCGTGGCCTCGTGGCATTGGGAATCCATCTGGGCCATCAGGCATGGCTGGGCAGGCAGGGTCTGCATGGGCTGCCGGACGATCACAGACAGCCAAAGCCTTGGGGACCATGGGCGTGGGAATGAGGTGAGACGCTGAGGTCCCCAGGGCAGAGAATGGAGAGACCAGCCTGTGCGTGGCGAGGGAGTTCCCGGGCATTGAGGTCGGAGTCATGGGGGTGGCCGGGAGCCAGGCCTGAGATGAGGTTACGGCACAATCGGCGCAACAGAGGCAGCCGGGCCTTTCTCGGGGGCCCTAGGAAGGTCACTGGGGCAGCACTGAGGGGCCAGGACACCCTGTCCCCTTCGCAACGGTGGCTGGAAGAGGGGGGTGATTGGGAAAGAGGGCCTTGCGGCCAAGCTGGTGACAGCCGGCGGGAAGCTGGGACATTCAGAGCAGAGGGGAGCTTGCTGTTCTCAGGGTCAAGTGGGTCGCAGTCTGGGCAGGGGGAGATGGTGCAGAGCAGGTGTCCGTGAAGAGCGTCCGCGTGGAGAGCGGCGCTGGGCCTGGGGGGCACCATGGGGAGCAGGTGACCTCGAGAAGGCCAGGGCCTGGGCACACGTGCGGGCAGGGGCCCGGGGCAGGGGCACGACGGTGACTCGGGTGTCGTCCACTCGGGGCCCCTCCAAGGGCGTCTCGCAGCCCCTGCTGCCCTTCCCCCACGGTCACGCCACCGGCTGGAGGCCTGGGTGCCGGCTCCCACCCCGGGAGGCTGGGGACACTGGGCTGCGATGTTGTGACGGCTGTGTTCTGGTCGCTCGACACGCATTCCTCTTGGGCCGCACTTTGAGCCAGTGCTCAGCCGGCACACTTTTGGTGCTGGGAACGGCTTGGACACAAGGAAAGCCCCCTCTCAGGCACCGAGGTTTTCGGGGTGCAGAGCCCTCAGGCTCCTGTCACTCTGGGGGTGCTGCACTGCGGATGGCTCCGGCATCGGTGTGGCGCCCCTGGGATGCAGGCGCCGAACCCCTCTGTGTCCTGGCTGGCAACTCCTCGAGTCTGTCACCCGAGTTGAGTGACTTCGCGGCCAATAGGAGACATCTCAAGTTAACAGACTGGGGAGGAGGAGCAGGGGGACGTCTGGGCCACAGGGAGGAGCAGGGGGACACCCTGCTGTCCTCTCGTTCCGGCCACACCTGATGAAGCAGGTTGTTCAGTGGAGTCTCCCTCCCTCCTGTCTCCATCTGGCCTGGGGACTCTTGCTGGCCAACCCTGGCGTGACCTGTTGCACCCATTTTCTTTCAGGTTGCGATTGTTGTGTTAGGAAACAAAATTGACCTTTCTGAGCAGAGGCAAGTGGACGCGGAAGTGGCCCAGCAGTGGGCGAGAAGCGAGAAAGTGCGACTGTGGGAGGTGACCGTCACCGACCGGAAGACGCTGATCGAGCCGTTCACACTGCTGGCCAGTAAGCTCTCCCAGCCCCAGAGCAAATCCAGCTTCCCCCTGCCCGGGAGGAAAAACAAGGGGAACTCCAGCTCGGAGAACTGAGTGGCAGCTTCCCTCCTGCATGGCCGCCGCCTCTCCATGTCCGTGAAGATGGAGCAGGATGAGCCGTTACAATGTCGAATCGACTTTGGGTCCTCAGGGAATCCCCAAGGAAGTCATTTAACCACTTTGGAGGTCATCATTCAGTTACTTGGGCTAGACTCATTATTGCCTGATACCAAGTAACATATTCTCATTGTTTGAAAGCTGTCCCTGAAGTAAGCACTGTTTGTTATTTATGTTGTGCAGTAGAATAAAGCTGGGGCAGTGTACAGCCCTCCAGCTGCCTTGGAAGCTGTCATCTTCTGTGTAACTTCATGCAAATGTCTTATGCAAACTTGTTTTAGACGTTCATTCAGCACCTCAAATCCAGGATTATAAAAGTGACATCTTCTGGGTCCAAGTTGGACCAAAGACACTGAACACACAGGGCCAGGCGTGGTGGCTCACGCCTATAACCCCAGCATTTTGGGAGGTGGAGGAGAGAGGATTGCCTGAGCTCAGGGGTTCGAGACCAGCCTGGGCAACTTGGCGAGACCACATTTCTACAATAAGTCAAAAAATTAGCCGGGCATGGTGGCACGTACCTGTAGTTCCAGCTACTTGGAAGGCTGAGGTGGAAGGATTGCCCGCACCCAGCAGCCCGAGACTGTGATGGCTGTGCGCGTGCCACTGCACTCATCTGGGCAACAGAGTGAGACTCCGACCCCCCGAAAACCAAAAAACACTTAATTTGGGCACTAAGTTAACTTTTATCTCATGGACTTTGCTGAGTAGACCAAAACTCTTGACTTGGTTTTGCTCGAGTTCAGCTTAGCATGGCCCGAGGTGCCCAGTGGGACAAGCAGAATCATCACTCAAGGCCTTTTTCCTTAGCCAGACCTGCTGATACGCAGACGAGGGGTATGCTGCTTTCTTCCTTCTGAAAATGGGTAAGCACTTTTTCCAGAAGGAGTACTGGATCTTCTGGAACTGTGTCCTGTACCGTGTGCAACAAAACGTATCCTAAAAATGCTGGGCACCGGTGGTCTTCACGTGAGATGCTGGGATTGTGCTGTGGGTCTCTGAAGACGCTGGCAGGATCTGAGCAATGTCTGTATTTAGCAAGGTGACGTTATTATAACTGCTTTTGAGTTGGAGTTTCACTCTGTTGCCCGAGGCTGGAGTGCAGTGGCATGCTCATGGCTACCGCAGCCTCAGCCTTCCTTTCAGCTGGGACGACAGGTGTGCACCACCACACCCAGCTAATTTTTTGATTTATTACAGAGATGAAGTCTCACCAAGTTGCCCAGGCTGGTCTCAAACCCCTGGGCTCAGGCAGTCCTCTAGCTCCACCTCCCAAAGTGCTGGGATTATGCACCCAGTCCCTGTAACTAAGAAGGCAGGAAGTAAGCTGCTTAGTGGTTTCACCTGTCAAAGCAGTTAACGGTTTGATTTAAATGTAAAATCTGAAATAAGCTATTCAGCAAAGAACATATTAAAACATCAAGTAAATTGTAAGATCTTGAACGGGATACTTTCAAACTCAAGTGGCTCATTCATTGAGTGTAATCCAAGAACTATGTAGAGAAGATAATACAAATCCTTTAACATTTCTCATCTTTTTTTGGTGAAAAAAATTGTCACTCAATGTCATCCCCCTGCTGCATTCTCCCTAGTTATTGAGTACCGATCTTCTAGCTTCGTTCCCTATGACACAGATGAAGTTTCTTTCATAATTATCTTTAAATATGATATTGCCCTGCAGTTTTTGTTTTTTACTAATGCAACTTAATCCGTGTTAGTACACACAAATGCTATACTGAACGCATGTGCACCTGGGTGAGTTTCTCTGGAGGAGACAGAGAATGAACTGGGGGTCGCCGGGTGTGTATGCCTCAGTGCCCTCGAGGGTGGCTGTACCCATTTACCCCTGACAGAACCATCTCTCATGTCCTTGTTATCCAGCATCTGCAAGTCAGAAAATGCTTTCCTTTTTTTTTCTTAGAAGGCGGAGGAGGAAGGATCACCTGATCCCAGCAGGTAGAAAATGCTTTTAAAGAGAGGAAGCAGGGTTCATCTTGAAACCAAGATGGTTCTGTTAGTTAACCTTTTCGAAGACCTCAAAACCTACTGTTGTATAATGTACCAATCCTACCATAGGTAAATGGCACGTATTTGTTATGCATTCTTTTATAGGTTGCTTTATTTTAATTTTTTGAGTTGGGGGTCTCACTCTGTTGCCCAGGCTGGAGTGCAGTGGTACCCTCAAGGCCACTCCAGCGTCGAACTGCTGGGCTAAGGCAATCCTTCTGCCGCTGTCAGCCTTCCAAGTAGCTGGAACTATAGGTGCACTACCCGCCTGGTTAATTTTTTGATTTCTTGTAGAGATGAGGTCTTGCCAAGCTGTCCAGGCTGGTCTTGACCCATGGGCTCAGGCAATCCTCTCGCCTCGGCCTCCCAAAGTGCTGGGATTATAGGCTTGAGCCACCGCACCCCGCCTATAGGTTGCTTTAAATGCAAAGATCTATTACTTCTACGAGAAAGAAAGCACACGAACCCAGCAGCGTTAGGTGGTTGTTTTTAATATTGTTTATTAGCACAGTAACAAATGCAGACTGAAGTCGTCCACAACATAGACCCAATCCACTGAGCGACTCCTATTCCACGCCTTACAGTTAACAGCTTAAGGTATTTCACTACAGGCTCCCACAAGTCCTGATTCAAACCTTTACTCTTAACAATAAAGAAGGTCGGCATATAAAATAAAATACATTAACTACTCATTTCCTATATGGTGTCTCACAGCCACGTGTCCATTTTATATATATGAGATGACAGTCTCTAAAACTCTGTTAAATATCAATGCTCTCTTCCAGGAAGGGAAAACAAATTCCATTTTTTTAAAACAAAGTATATAGTCTTGGGGGACCTGACATCAATGGCCATGTGTGTAACCTGTACAAAATTAAGCTGTTTTAAATGGACAGACTACAAGCGACTGAACCCCAAATATCTAAAGGTACATTCTTCTCTGTACTACGTTTCAGCTAATATCGCAGAACTGAGGACAGTTTTCAAAGTTGCAGTGACCAATTCTGTCTACTGTAGCAAGATACCTTAAGTTACAACAAAATCTTAGGAAATAAGACTGAATAATATCTGTTATAGAAATACCCTACTCTTTACCGACGCCCACCCTCCCCCGCCCCTTCAAAATCATAAGCAGCTCTCTTCTGTGACAGACAAATAGCGCAGGACCTGGGAGCCGGCTTATGTGGCGTATCTCTTGGTCCACTGTCTGGCCATTCTGTCATGTTCTGCTCTGTTGGTCATGTACTGCGTGGCGATGCTCCCCACCAAGGGGTCAGCTGGAAGAAAAGCAGACAGGTTACTTTGGAGACAGGAAAAGTAAACTTCAGCAGACACGCTTGTGACCTCTTGGGTAGAAAGGTACAAAGTCTGTGTGATCAAACCATCCTTGAAACACCACTCCATTGTTCTGGGTGTCTTTCCTTCACAATTTTAAAAAACAAAAAATGGGGTGGGACTCGAGATTGTTCTCAGAAGAACACGCTTGGGCGTCATTCCTGCCTGGCCATGTCTCCTTCCGTTTCTCTCCCGGCAGCACCACCTGATTGGAGTTTCTTGGCTCCTGCGTGTCAACAGACACTGGAATGTTCAGCCTCCCAACTGCAATGAACGTCAGCTGCACTCCTCTGACCTTGAATTCAGTGGCACCAGTGACAACCCTGAACACCCCAGGTCTCAGCTCCAGCCACGTGACGCTGTTTGACTAGAAAGAGCGGGCCACCAGGTTAAAGTTAAGGGCTCCTTAATAACTACGTGTATATTTGATTCATCTAGGAAAATTTTTAAAAATAAAGTTCCAACAAAATGACAAATCAGCAGGCGCTAGGCATTTAGCAGAGAAATGCCATCTTCAAAAGTGAGAACCGTCCTCAGTGAGCAGCTCGGGGCAAGTGCTGGGGCCCGGCAGGCTCAGGTGAGGGTGGCGGGCAGGGCCTCGGCAGGTGGAGGTCTGCAGGTGGTTTTACAACAACTGTGCGGAAAGTGCAACAAGGAAAAACACAAAAACACAGGAGTGACTGAGACGGTCAAGATCCCAGGCAAACGTGTGTCTTCAGTTGAAGACCCCTGTCCCTAGGACACATCAAGTAATGGTGAATTTGCCACATGTTCAGCTGGTGAACTGAACTTCTCTTGATTAAAACTTTCTTTGAAAAGTACATTAGTTTGTTTGTTTGTTTGCTTTGTTTTTGAGTCTAAGTCTCACTCTGTCGCCCAGGCTGGAGTGCCATGGCACGCTCACAGCCACCACAGCCTCAACCTACTGGGCTCAGGTGATCCTTCCGCCTCAGCCTTCCAAGTAACTGGACCCACAAGTGCATGCCACCATGCATGGCTAATTTTTTGATTTACTGTAGAGACGAGGTCTCAACCAAGTTGCCCAGGTAGTCTCAAACCCCTGAGCTCAGGCAATCCTCTCACCTCGGCCTCCCAAAGTGCTGAGTTAACAGGCGTGAGCCATCAAGCCCGGCAATTATTTTGTAGAGATGGGTGGGGCTCACTATGTTGACCAGGCTGGTCTTGAACCTCTGGCCTCAAGTGATCCTCTCATCTCAGCCTTCCAAAGTGCTGGGATTAGAGATGTCAGCCACTGCACCCGGCCTTTTTTTTTTTTTTGAGTCAGAGTCTCACTCTGTCACCTAGACTGGAGTGCAGTGGCATATCTTGTACCCGTGGGCTCAGGCAATCCTCTCACATCTGCCTCCCAAAGTGCTGGGATTACAGGCTTGAGCCACCACATCCAGCTAAAAAAAGCATTAGTTTTTACTTTTACAAGGTTGTGGAAAAATTTTTTTTAAAAATTAGTTTTGTCCTTCAGAAGCTCTGAGAAAAACAAAAGCTCTCTTTAGAAAACCTTAGTTTGTATGGAAAACCAATATTCTCCAGGTGCGGAAGGACCACTCCACTCCCTTACTCACCAGGGTTGCAGTCTGTGAGCAGCGAGCAGATGGAGAGGAGGACTTTAGAGATGGTGAGGGCCGGGCTCCAGTTATCTTTCAAGATGTCCAAGCAGATCACGCCTTGGCTGTTAATGTTACAGTGGTAGATTCTTGTCCGAAATGTCACCTGAAACAAGGTAGCATCAAACAACGTTCAAACACAAACCAACCTCTTACTGCGTTTTTTTTTCTTTTTTTGAGTTGGAGTCTTACTCCGTCGCCCAGGCTGGAGTGCCACCCCAGCGTCGACCTGCTGAGCTCAGGCAATCCTTCTGCCTCAGCCTTCCAAGTAGCCAGAACTACTGGTGCATGCTGCCGCGCCCGGCTGATTTTTGATTCATTGTGAAGACCAGGTCTCGCCAAGTTGCCGGGGCTGGTCTCGAACCCGTGGGCTCAGTCAATCCACTCACCTCGGCCTTCCAAAGTGCTGGGATGACAGGCTGAGCCACCGAGCCTGGCCTCTTACTACATTTTAAACTACATGACCCTAACTAAAAACAAACTACTCCCCGATACTTAGTTTATAAAAAGGTGAATAAAACAACAGTTTGAACTAAAGCTGACAAGATTGGTAAAAAGAGTTGAATAAATTTGATTAGAAAGTGTTCACTGGCACCATCTCAGGGGCTGTCAGTTTCATCTTGGAAAAAAGAATGCCCGCTGACAAGAGTGAGGTAAGTTCAACACCTCCTGATCCTTCAGCAATTCGTCTTAAATATTAACGCTTCCAAGTTTGAGCAGCTAATTGTTTGCTGACCTCTTGTGTTAGCTGGTAGGACTACACTGCCTCAAAGGAAGCTCGGAGTGAGCTTTCAAATATTCAGAATCACAAAGACCTCTTAAAGACCCAAGTACAGCCGGGAGCGCTAAATCTAACACATTTGAACATGCAGAGCACACTTCCTCGGGTTACCTGGGCCTCCCCTGGCAGAGACCATTCTAGGAGTGAGTACTTTGTTTTGATGGTGCTTAAAATTGTGCTATGTGTAGGTTGTCAGCAACCTGGAATTAATCCCCTATTTTCCAACCTATAGAAAAAAGTTCCCGAACAGTCAAAAGTGGTGTCAGACAGGCTGAGTGCAGTAGCTCACACCTGTAATCCCAGCACTTTGGAAGGCGGAGGTGAGAGGATTGCCTGAGTTCAGGGGTTCGAGACCAGCCTGGGCAACTTGGCGAGACCTCATGTCTACAATAAACCAAAATATTTGCCAGGCGTGGTGGCGCTCACCTGTGGTTCCAGCTACTTGGAAGGCTGAGGCAGAAGGATCGCCTGAACCCAGTAGGTTGAGGCTGGGGTGGCCATGAGCATGCCACTGCACTCCAGCCTGGGCAACAAAGTGAGACGCTGACTCAAAAAAAAAAAAAGGACCCAACTACAAAAGAATGGGAACAGAAAGACAATGAACCAAGATGCCTGGCCAATAAAGGCCACACATCCAAGACACTGTGCAGAACCAGAAGAGATCTGTCTGTCTGTTTCTGACCGTTACCAGACCCCGCGGACATCTTTTCTACCTAAATCACAGCATTTACTGCAGTGGCGTCTCCGTGGGTGCAGGGCCAAGAGTGGGCAGAGGCCACAGCAGTAGACAAGTCAGCATGAGCCCCGGGAGGGTGGGCTCTCTATCTGGCCTCCTAGCTTTCATTTGTGAAATGCACTCCAACACACTGAAGGAAAAACTACCTGTAACTTCACCAACTAAAGAAAAACGACAGATGTCCGATGCCTTCTTGTGGCTGCAATAGTGGTAGCTCGTGGTATCTACGCCTAGCAGGCCAGCAGGCCCCAGGAAGAGGGCTTCCTTCTGTCTGTGAGGGAGCTCGGGCCACTGAGTGTTAGCTGAGTGTTAGAGACGGTGACTCAGGCAACCCCCACCTGCCCCAGAGAGGAAGTCAAAGCCTGGAGGTGAGGAACTGCATGGGGCCAGAGGGCGATCAGGAGCAGGACCCAAAGCTTTGGCAAAAGACTCTGATTCTCTCAGTTGTTTCAGTGCATGGATATTTTGACACCCTCTTTTTTTTCTGAGACGGGATCTCGCTTTGTTGCCAGACTGGACTTGAACTCCTGGGCTCAATTGACCCTCTGGAGTAGCTGGGACTGTGGGTGTGCACCACTGCACCCAGCTTGACACCATTTTTTTTCTTTCAGTCTTATTCTCACCTAGGCTGGAGCACAGTGGCGTGATCACGGCTCACAGCATCCTCGACCTCCTGGCTCAGGCGATCCTTCCGCCTCAGTCTCCTGAGTAGCTGGGACTATAGGTGCACTGTCATGCCTGGCTAAATTTTTGATTTTTTTTTTTTGGAGAGATGAGGTCTTGAACTCCTGGTCTTAAGCAATCCTCCCACCTCGGCCTCCCAAAGTACTGGGATTACAGGTGCGAGCAACTGCACCTGGCCTATCTGACATCATTTTTAATGGTTTGGAAACTTTTTTCCTACAGGTTGAAAAATAGGGGATTAATTCCAGGTTGCTGGCAGCCTACACATAGCACAATTTGAAGCACCATCAAAACAAAGCACCTGCTCCTAGAATGGTCTCTGCCAGGGGAGGCCCAGGCAACCCAAGGAAGTGTGCTCTGCATGTTCAAGTGGATTAGATTCATGAGGACGATTATGGACGTCTACTAGTTTTTGTGATTAAAAATTAAAGAAACCTCAATCGTTCCTCTTTTCATGGGAGTTTGGGAACTCTCTTACCTTTGGAGGCTTGAAGGGATATTCTGGCGTAAAGGTGATGTCAAGGAAGAACACGCCGCCCTCGTACACGGACCCTGGCGGCCCGAGGATCGTGGATCGCCACTCGTAGATGTTGTCGCCTTTGGGGCCAGCGCTGTGGAGTCAGACAGCAGCAGGTGAGAAATGGCACGCCACCACTCCTCACAGCGCTTCCAAAGCGGGAAGGGTCCCCCCTCCTCCCCTGTCGTTTAAAGTACGGAGTCTCTTCCAAACCGGAAGCATCTTTCAGACAGAAACTGACGCAGCACTGCACCGAACCCACCGGGCGCTGGCCAGCCGGGTAACAGAAGGACGCTAACGACACCCTCGCCCACCTGGCTGGGACTACGCAGGAGACGCCTCCGGGCTCAAGCCCTTCCCAGCACCTGAGGAAACACAGGCGACGCCTGAAAAGAGAAACGCGGCTCGGAGCGCGGAGGCTGGACAAGTGACAGTGACGGCAGTTTCCGCTTGGAGCCGCCTCATCTCGGATGACCGTTTCAAGCACAGAAGTTTCACCTTCAGACCCACCTTCCTCACAGTGTCCCCATCATCTGGCCCTCAAGGAATCTACGAAATGGGCGTACTTGGGACACCAACACCTTGCTGGGGGGGAAGGAGAAGGCCAACTCTCCAGCTGCACGCCCCTCAGTTTCTTCTCCCACTGGGTCTACAATCAGGTCCTCGGCGGACTGTCGCTGGGACACCGGTCCCACCTGCTGGCCGTTAACACCCATCACACACACTGGGGTGCACCCTATCTGGCCACCCCCATTCCAGGGCGTGTGTTGGCTTCCAGACTACTTGGTTGCCCACACATTCATGCACAGTCATCCTAAGGCGCGAAACCCGACGGCGAGCTTGACACCCTGGAGCCCCAGAGGGTTCTCTCTGGTGCTGAGGAGACAGGGAAAGCCCAGATGCCTGGGAGATGGTCCTGGTCCCTCCACTGACGCCCCTGCACGGCTGCATGCAGGTGTCGGGGGAGTGGCCAGCGCACAGGATCTCACCTGGGAGTCGCGGACCTTCACTGTAACAGCTGCTGCCGGGCAAATGGCGCATGTCAGATCAGCCACAGAAAGGGCTGTGCTTGGAGAGGCTGGAGCACCCGTCAGCACTAAGCGCCCGCTTCTAGGGAGCAGTGTGACCACGGCATGAAGGAATGCATGGGGCGAGCCGGGCAGCTTCACTCCCACACTCACTGAACACCGTGCGCTGGCGAGGGTCCAGGGTCAGGCTTCTGACACCCGACAAGGTCGACCCCTCGTCCTCCAGCTGCCCTCTGCTGTCTGCTTAACACTCAGGATTGGGTCCTTCACTTCGGAGGAAGAGGTCGTGCCAGGAGCAGAGCCCACCCGGGCCGCCGCCTCAGACCCCCAGGCCCAAGGCGTGAGCTTCCCACGGGGCCAGGGGTGAAGGGAGGGCGGCAGCAGGAGGCAGACAGCCTGGGCCCCAGACGAGGGCTTCACTGGCCAGGGGCGGACGGAGCTCAGACGCCTGCCACTCGCCTCACGGGATGTTTTAGGAAGTAAAAAGGAGCCAGGAGGCCGGGCTCGGTGGATTGCCTGAGCCCGCGGGTTCAAGACCCGCCCAGGCGGGCAACTTGGTGAGACCTCGTCTCTACAATAAAGAAAAAATCAGCCGGGCATGGTAGCGCGCGCCTGTAGTTCCGGTTACTTGGAAGGCTGAGGCAGAAGGATCTCCGGAGCCCAGCAGGTTGAGGCTGCGGTGACCGGGAGTGCCACTCAGTCTGGGTGACAGAGTGAGACTCCAACTCAAAATAAAAAAAGTAACCAGGAGACAAAGAGTGATCTTCAGGAGCACGCAGGTTACAGCGGTTTCATCGACTGGTAGTGACACCATCACGGTAATTACTCCCGCGGGTCCACACGGTCTGGTCCTTTCATGTCTCTGTGATGGGTTTTACCAAGAACCATTAACAACTTGCTTTAGGCCGGTGCAGGGGCTCGAGCCTGTCATCCCAGCACTTTGGAAGGCCCAGGCGAGAGGACTGCCTGAGCTCACAGATTCAAGACCAGCCTGGGCAACTTGGTGAGACCTCGTCTCTACAATAAAGAAAAAATCAGCCGGGCATGGTAGCGTGTGCCTGTAGTTCCGGTTACTTGGAAGGCTGAGGCAGAAGAATGGCCGGAGTCCAGCAGGTTGAGGCTGGGGTGGCCTTGAGCATGCCACTGCACTCCAGCCTGGGCGACAGAGTGAGACTCCAACTCGAACAAACAAACAAAAAACCAACTTATTTTAGACCGGCTCTACATCGAGATGTATCTCTTTTTTTTTAAGTCGGGGGTCTCACTCTGTCACCCAGGCTGGAGTGCAGTGGCATGGCTCATGGCTCACCACAGCCTTGACCTCCTGGGCTCAGGTGATCCTTCTACCTCTGCCTCCCGAACAGCGTGGACTATAGACGTGTGCCACTACACTGGCTAATTTTTTTGTAGAGACAGGGCCTCACTATGTTGCCTAGGCTGGTCTCAAACTCTGGGCCTCATGCAATCCTCCTGCCTCGGCCTCCCAGAGTGCTGAGATTACAGGCATGAGCCACTGCCTAGCCCGAGAAACATCTCTGAACACCGTCTACACTGTGAACTCCTGCTTACGACTTCCTGTCAACATCTGAGCATCATTTGCACACGGTGGGATGTGGCCCTGTCCCTAGGAACGGGCCGCAGCCTCTCCAACCAGGGTACTATCCTGATGGCCCCAGCCCCTGGGGTCAGAGCCGGCCCTGGGCCATCAGGTCTGCCTCCTGCCTACATGTCTGGTCCCCCCAAAACTCGTATGCTGCGATCCTGATGCCTCCCATGATGGTCAGGAGCAGGATTCCTGAGAACGGGATTAGCATCCCTCCGAACGAGACCATGGGGGCTCTCTAACTTCACCACGGAGAGCCCATCACAAAGGCAGCTGTCTGGGAAGCAAGCAGCAGGCCCTCACGCCACGGAAGCCGCCAGCACCCACCCGGCCTTGAGAACAGTGGGACATACGATCCTGCTGCCCTAAGCCACCCCGTCTGTCGCATTCTGTGACAGCAGCCTGAAGTAAAGCCATGAAGTCTGCACACACCGGTGGGCATGTGTGCCACCCGTTCCCCAGGCTGCAGCTGCGGAGAGGGGACTCAGTGGCCTGATTACAGAACAGCACGGACACAGAGGCTGCAGGGGAAAGAGGCGTGAGCTGCCTCTACGTGGGACGCGACCAAGACAAGGGCTGAAGGCCACCCTAGCCTGCCCGACGCTCCTTGCCAGACCTCTCTTCTCCCGGAAGAGGAGCTCCGGCCAGGAGGCCAGGCCCGGCAACATTCCCCGCTGCTGCCGAAGAAGCACAAGCCAGACTCTCGAAGGCCCAGGCTGGTGATGCCAAGAAACGGACCTGGAAAAGCAACGTGAGGGTCCCTAACCCCCGAGGTGACCCGGTGGCCTGCACCCGCTTCTGCTGGCCCTTCCTTGAGTACAGAAAAAAGATACAGATTGAAGGTCTGACGATATGTTAGCACAGCACATTGTATGGACTGCATAGAAGATTGGTGGTTCCCAAATTTTACTGTGCATTAAAATAATCGATGGAGTTTTAAAATGAGAGCTCTGGGCCTCTCCCCCAGGCCTGATGAGCTCAGACAACCCAGAGGGGACTCAAGAACCTGCATGTGAAAAAGCCTGGTGACTTTTTTTTCCTGAGTCGGAGTCTCACTCTGTCACCCAGGCTGAAGTGCTGTGGCACACTCACGGCCACCGCAGTCTCAACACGCTGGGCTCAGGTGATTCTTCCGTCTCAGCCTCTCAGGTAGCTCGAACCGCAGGTGTGTGTCACCACGCGGGTTACTGAGGAAAGCCAGCCCAGAGGAATGTGAGCCCTGACCCTTCGCCTGCTGCCCACGGTGGAACTAGACAAATCCAGATTGCTGACTCTTTGTCATCTGCTTGCAGGGTGGGTGTACATTGTTCTGAGGGCACAGGAAAAAGTGGAGAAGGGGGTTAAGGACTCAAGAACACCACGACAGCCACGATGAGACAAGAGCAAAACATGCCGTTCTGCTAAACTTCAAAAACGGAGAATCGCGGCGGTTCCATGAGAAAAACAACTACCCACAATGTAAAATGACATCGAACGCAGCCGACTCTGACACAGGCTTGGAGTGAGAGGTGCCTGACGCCCAGCCCTCAGCGACAACCCCGGAGGGTCAAGAACCCGGGGAAAGGTCAAGCACTCTCGCCAGGATGTGAAACAACGTTCCCTTAACGCTGCTGTTGGCTGGATCCAGGGGGGCTTGCTGTCACCCATTTGCTTTATTAGAGAATAATAAAACAAACATTTCACCCGGGGCTGTGCATTTTTCTCCCCTAAGTGCTCACTGGAAGAGTCAGCATCCGTGGGCTAGAGAGCACGGGACCAGCCCCATCCCCGGGGGAGGCCAGACGTCACAGTCACACCCTCAGAAGGCCAGGGTCAGGAGGACAGGGGGCCAGAGCGCCTCTGCTCCGGCAGCTCCAGGCATTCTGGGTCTCGAGAGAACGGCCAGCCAGGGCTGTCCTCGGGTCAGCCATGCACACCTGCAGGCGGCTGTCTCCTCCTCAGAGAGAAGGGGCTTTGGTTCCACTGCAGGAACACAACCCCAGTGTCCAGCACCGGTGGGAGTTCACGTGAGAATGGCGCGTACTTGAGTGAAATGATGAGTTCATCCCATGGTTAGAAGGAGTGGAGACGCAGCCGGAAACGGGGGGCGAAATTCAGGTACTAAGGAGAGACGAGAACAAAGAAGAATGCCTGTCCTGACCCTGCAGGAAGTCTACCCCTGCATGCCTCCCGTTGAGCACATGTTCTGATTGGGATATGCTCTAAGCCAGTCATCTAACTGTGTGCAGTAAGATTTTTAAGCAGCCAAGCAGAGCATCGCTGGGGTTACAAAATCAGTGTCAGACCGTGCCCTTTGAAAAAACCTCACTTATCCCTGTTTGAAGATGCTGAAAATTTAACTTTGATTAGAATCTTTGCGTAAGGCCATGACCGTGAAGGTGGAGACCACGCCTATGCCTTTCAGATTTTCTTTCTTTTTTTTTTGAGTGGGTCTCACTCTGTTGCCCAGGCCAGAGTGGCACG